TCACTAATGTCCTTTAGGGAAGGAAACTGCTATCTTTACTTGGTCTGGTCTACATGTGACTCCAGTCCCACAGCAATGTCTGAACTGCCCTCTGGGTAATAAATGCAACCTAGCCAGCGATGCCCTCATCCCATGAATGAATAAAGAAAAAGAAAGTACTCAAAGGTCTGAGCAATGAAGGCAACTGTGCTAAATGCCTTTTTAACCACCCTGTCTATATGTAACGCAAACTTCAAAGAATTGTGTACCTGCACCCCTAGGTCCCTCTGTTCTACAATACCATCCAGGCCCTACCATTAATTGTGTAAGTCCTACCCTTGTTTGTTGTACTAAAATGCAATACCTCACATTTATCCAGATTGAACTCCAACTGCCACTTTTCAGGCCATTGACCCATTTGATCAAGATCCCTTCATAATCTAAGAAAACGTACTTTACCAACTGCTATGCCACCAATTTTGGTGTCATCTGCAAACTTAACCATGCCTTCCATATTCTCATCCAAATCATTTTTATAAATGACAAACAAAAGAGGATCTAAAACCGATCTGTGTGGAATACCGCTGGTCACAGGCCTCCAGTCCGAAAAGCGACCCTCCACCATTACTGTCTGTCTCCTGCTGATGAGCTAATTATGTATCCAATTGGCAAGCTCACCCTGAATCCCATGTGACCTAACTTTACTAATTAGTCTACCATGCAGAACCTTGTCAAAGACTTTATTAAAATCCAAATAACCAATGTCTATTGCTCTGCCATCATCAATCTTTTTGGTAACTTTCTCAAAAAACTCAATCAAGTTTGTGAGATGTGATTTTCCTTGCACAAAACCATGCCGACGAGCCCTAATCATATTTTGCCTCGAAATGTCCATAAATCCTCCTTTTTATAGTCACCTCCAACAATTTACCCACAACCGAAGTCAGACTCTCAGGTCTATATTTCCCCAGTTTCTCCTTACCAACCTTTCTTAAACAAAGATACAACATTAGCCACCCTCCAGTCATCAGCCACCTCATGCATAGTTATGGATGACGCAAATATTTCGGCAAGGGGTCTCACAATTTCGTCCCGTACCTCCCACAACATTCTGGGATACATTAGATCAGGTCCCGGAGATTTATCCACCTTTATATTTATAAGTTTATTTCTCTGCATTCTCTAGACTCCATTTCTTTCTCTACAGTAAAAACTGATGCGAAATATTCATTTAAGTGTCCCGCCCGTCTCCTGGGATTCAACACAAAGATGACCTCCTTGATCTTTAAGAGGCCGTACCTTCTCTCTAGTTACCCTCTTGCTTTTAATGTATTTGTAGAATTTCTTTAGATTAACCTTAACCTTATCACTCAATGCTATCTCATATCCCTTCTTTGCCTCCCTTATTTCTTTCTCAAGATTGTCCCTACACTCTTTATACTGATTAAGAGATTCAATTGAACCAAGTTATCTGTATCAAAAATAAGATTCTCTTTTATTCTTGACTAGAACCACAATATCTTTATTCATTCGTTGTTCCTTAATCTTACCAGCCTTACCTTTCACTCTAATAGAAACATGATGCCTCTGAACTCTCGCCATCACACTCTTGAATACCTCCCACTTGTCAGATGTCCTTTTACCTGCAAACAGTCTACCGCTGTCAACTTTTGAAAGTTCTTGTCTCATACCATTAAAATTTGCCTTACCTCAGTTAAAAACTTTAACTTTTATGGAAGGCTTACCCTCTTCCATACCATTTTGAAACTAATAGAATTATGATTGCTAGACCCAAATTGATCCCCCACTTTTGCTTCAGTCACCTGAACTGTCTTTTTGCCCAAATGAGGGTCTAGTTTTGCTCCTTCTCTGGTAGGAGCATCCACATATTGATAAAGAAAATTTTCTTGAACACATTTGACAAATTCTTCATCATCCAAACCTTTAACACTATGGTAAACCCAGTCAATGTTTGGAAAATTAAAATCCCTGTTATTACAACGATTTTGTGCATACATATATCTGAGACCGCCCTACATATTTGTTTCTTAATTTCCCTCTTACTATTGGGGGGGCTATAGTCTAATCCCATCAAAGTGATCTTTTCTTATTTGTAATTTCCACCCATATATTTTCACTGGTTGACTTTTCAGAAATATCTTCCCCAGTTACAGCAGTAACGTATACCTCAATCAAAAAATTCCACCCCTCTCCCCACTTTCTAGCCTCTTTTTCTATGCTTTCTATAGCATCTAAAACCCACGTCCCTCAATGAATGGTAGTTTCACAAAGGGGGCTCGACAGAGCAGTTAATCTGGTACAGGGTGGAAATTCTGCTTTCAAATAGTAAATAGGTTATCCGATTCCAAACAAGTGGGTATGCTTGGATCTAAAACTGCTTCTAAACATGCTGTATCAGACTTGTTCAACATGGGTGTTAAATATTCTGAGGTTCAAAATGTCTCTCATGACCTTGGTAACAAGGCAACACTTACTATAAAATGAACCATATCACTTAAAAATCACAGGCTGGAACTGTCACAGAGGTTTAGTGAACATGATCAATTAGTACTGCATCATTGAACTAAACAGCTCAATGAGTACTTACTACAAGTCAAACCTCAGGCTGCAATCCTGAATAGAATCAGCATTAATACAGTAAGAAAATATCCAACACAATTACTGGCCCTTCCACAATTTAATCAAATTAAAATTTTAAATAAACTCAAGTGAAATATTTTCATTCACAGAATTTCCAAATGCTACCATGTTCAAAAGAAATAAATTACTCCTTAATGACGAGGAGATCACTAATATTATTTCAAATACCATAGTGTGGCACATCCTTAAAACAACAATTTGAAGCAGTGCATATCGTTTCTGCTGTTGCGAATGAGGAATTGAAAACCAGAACCACTAATCAAAAGCAGGAGACTCATAAATGTTAGCTCAGAAGGATATAGGCATCTTGCATGTGAATAAAAGACAGTTTACATGCAAATAAAGTAAGTGATTAGGAAGACAAATAGTAGTTAGCTTCATTGCAACAATGTTACAATACAAGGATAATGGAATACTTGCTGTATTTAAATACTTTTATTGTTATGGTATTACCCAAACCCAAAGTACAGGAGATGCTGAAGATCTGAAAAACAAAGTGCAAAAGAAACGCAGCAGGTCTAGCAGCATCTGTGGAGTTAGAAATGGAGTTAAGTGTTTCAAGTGCAATATAACATTTCTTAACTGAAGTTCTGTAGACGTCATATATCAGGCATGACACCTGGAATGACGAGGAGAACATTCACCCTCCAACAGTTGTGAATCTTTGGATTTCTTTATCCAAGGAAGTTGTAGATTCTCAATTTAAGAGTATATTCAAGTCTGACATAAGATCTCAAGAATACAAAGATAGGGCAACAAAGTGGAGTTAGTATGCTTCAGACATGGTCCTTAAGTTAACTGTGGATCAAATTTGAGGGACTAAACGCCTACCTCTCCTGTCATGTTGTCTTCTATTTATAATTCCCTTGCAGATCAGTCCCTCCCTTTATGTACTCAATAGCCTGGTAGCAAGAGGATTGCATTTAGATAATTTTTTTCATGCACCTAGAAGTGACAGAGGAAGTCAAGAAAGTTTGGAGCTGGAGGAGCACGGCAGGCCAGGCAGCATCAGTGGAGTAGGAAAGTCGATGTTTCGGGTTGGGACCATTCTTCAGAACTGAAGTAAAGTACAGAGGATGCAGAAGAAGCCTATTCCTCTGATGCTGCCTGACCTGCAGTGTTCCTCCAGCTCTACACCATGTTGACTCTGACATCAGCATCTGCAGTTCTTGGTATCTTCGAGTGACGGAGGAAGGTTCGATCAAGACATTCAAGTGGGCATTCGATGATGATTATTTAAAAAGAGGCAACATGCAGGGTACAAGAAAAAGGTAGGAGATTAGCACTAAGTTAAAGTTAGTGAGTGCAGACACGATGGTCCAAATAGCCTTTTTCAGCACTGTAACAATTCTGTGTTATGCGGTATGAGCTTATAGACAAAAATAATATAACCAAAAAATCTAAATTAACGTTTGTATGATTTATGTACAACAAGACAAGTCCAACATTTATTTTTGTTAATTATTTTGAAATATTTTGAGGCAACCACTAGTAATCTGCATCATTTCTAAATTGTGCAAAAGCTTTGAACATATGAATTTAGGACGAATGGTTCATAAGTTTGCAGATGACACTAAAATTGGTGGTGTAGTGGACAACGAAGAAGGTTACCTCAGAGTACAACAGGACCTTGATCCAATGGGCCAAGGAGTGGCAGATGGAGTTTAATTTGTTCAGTTTCTGGTCATGGTAACCCCAGGATGTTGATAGTGGGGGATTCATGTGGCTTAAATCAGACTTACAATTTAATCTGGATGTCATGAGTATCATATAGTATTAGAATTTAGATGGGGGTGGGGGATCTGGATGCTGATCGGTGATTAAGAAATCTATTTGAAAAGGGGTTCTTTAGCAACAAAAAAATCAAGACTAGAAGCCAATATAGGTCAACGAATATAAAGGTGATAGGTGGAACAGGACTTGTTAAGACACAGGCAACAAAGTTTGGCTGACACTGGGTTGAAGTCACACAGATGAAAACAGGCAGTGTTAGGGATGGCACAAATACGAGGTTCATAGCTGGTCACTGGATCAGATACAACACCAAGTTTGCAAATAGCCTGGTTTTATCTCGGCCAGAGAGAGGGATGGAGTCAGTAGCTAAGAGACTGAGTTTACAGCAGGGACTTTAAACATTGGCTTCAGTTCTTCCAACAGTTATGAGGAGAAAATTTACTTAGTACTGGATATCAGATAAATTAGACTGTTAACGTTAGCAACAGTAAAGCAGTCGAGAGAGGGATGAAGAGGTAGAACTAGGTATCATTGACATGCACATGAAAATGAATACACAGCTTTTGGGTGATGTCACCAGGAATAGCATATAGATGGGAAACAGGACCAAAAACAAAATCAACAAAAATTTATCCAAAAAAGTTTGTGAATCACTTGGGCTGGAAATGCATCAGGCATGGCCCCTCGATGTAACAAAAAAGCTGGCCTTCAGCAGAGCCCAGACTAAGACAGGCCCCAGCATAACAAGTTTACAGGTTATAGTTCCACTTCAGAACTAGGGAACATAAAAGTTTGACACTGTAATACAATACTAATGGAGCACTGCACTGTCTATTTAAGCAGTTAAACTCAGGTCCCCACTGCCTTCTTAGTTGGCTCATGGTAAATGAGTAAATCTTAGTAAAAGATCCCATTATTTCAAAAAGAGTTTATTCCCGGTGTTCTAGCTAGTATCTATCAACACCAAAGATAATCTGATAATTATCACATTATTAATCAATTCATAAATTTGGGAGGAAAACAAATTTATGGATTACAAGCAGGAGTAGTCCACTCAATTCCCTGAGCTCACACCACCACTGAATCACATCACAGCTCATCATATCACCAGACATTTCCATCTATCCTTGTATCAAGAACCCATCTACCCCTGCTTTAAAAACATTCAGAGATTCCACTTCCACAACCTTTTGAGGATAACTCTTCCAAAGCTGTGGTGTGGATGGCAGCCAGTGATACTGGCACAACCAAAAAATCAGAAAGAACGTTGTTGCAGGGCAGCATTGGTTACCTGTGTGATTTTTTTTTGTAAAATTTGAAACAAATGTGACAACAAAATCAATTTATCAATGATTAAACAATGCAGCAATCGGCAGTTGCTGTCGATCAAAATGGAAATATTTTACACCAATTCAGATATGCACCCCTAAGAAAGTTTACAGATGTTGCCCATCAGCAAAGTAATGCAACAGACATGTGTTTAACTAACCAACATGAGCAAAATTCCGCAGAAGGGCAAGTGTAAAGCTGGAGCAAAGTGCACTCTGATGTGAGTGACTCCTTTGGGACTGTTACAAGGAGGATATTTACAGCCGGAAATCGCCATTTCCAGGGGAAAGTGATAAAAGATGAAGCAGACCCAGGGGCCAAGGCCTAATCTAGGTCCGGGCTCCGCCAAAGGCCGCCTTCCCCGTTACCTCGAGGGGCAGCCTCGGCGAAGATCACAAAGGCCCAGGTACACCCGTTGCTGCCGAGAGCCCGTTTGGGCTCCACGCCAGCCATTTGCGGCACTTACCTCGCCCACCTCCCCGGCCCCGGCCCCGGCCCCGGCCCCGTCTCCGCGGTCAGTGCCGGCTCCTCCGGCTCCCGGAGCAGGACAGCGCCCTCCAGAGTCTCAGACAGAAACAACTGACCCCTCTCTGTTGGGGTACGGGATCTGTATCAGTTCGTGCCCTCCTGGTTTCTAACTGTTTACATATTTCTGAAATATTGTTTTCGTCCACGATGTCTAAACTGGAGATCTCCAAAACAAAAATCAAACAGCACAAGAAATGCCAACTAATCATGTCTGCCCCAAGTGTAGTCCTGTGATTAACACACAACGTGATATGAACACACAGGATGCAAGTACAAAACAAACTCACTTTCATCTCCTGAGGCTACAGAAAGATCAAGGGGCTGGGCCCAAGCCCACAGCAAAAAGTCATGTAGATTACGTCCCAAACTGCAGTCAAACTCAGTTTCATCCTTGGAGCAGGAAAGCTGACGTTTAGGCATGTAGACCCAAAACATCAGCTTTCCTGCTCCTCTGATGCTGCTCGGCCTGCTGTGTTCATCCAGCTCTATACCTTGTTATCTCAGATTCTCCAGCATCTGCAGTTCCTACTATCTCAGTTTCATCCTTGATTGGTGTGTGCACTAGTGGGTCAAGTTGGTGGTGTGAGTCATAACCGAGAAAACAATCTTTTTTGATTAGTTTGTCCCTACTTGAGCAGTTAAGAGTCAAAACCACATTGCTGTAGGTCTGGAGTCACAAGGGGACATTAATGAATCAGTTTTTAAAAAACGCTATCAACATAGTTACCATTAAATCGTCTGTTGTTCCTGCCATTGTTTTGAACCTATAATCCCCAAGACATTAGCCTGGCGGGGGGGGGGGGGGGGGGGGTGGGATTACATATCCACTGTCATTACCGTTATCCCGCTGCTGCTGCCATTTCCAGCAACTACACAATTAAAACTGAAGTTCCTTAAAGAAAGGGAAGGAATTTCTAAGATTGCTTAAATTAAAAGATGACAGAAATGGTTGCAGTCTACTTTTGAGTTGAGACATAGTATATCAGCAAAAACCAAGAATGCTTTGTTCCTGAAAGTGAAAGAAAAGTAACAATCTTCCTAAGAACAACACCAACTGCAGAGTCGGCTTTTAAAGAAAGAGCATTTTTAATTGTTACCAACTCAAAGTGAAGGGTCTTTTTTGTTTACCCTAACTTAAAAAGAACAGTCCAACATTTTTGATGCTGAATAACAGATAGCTGAAACATCATGGAGTAGACATTCTGTGTCTCTCTTACTGAGTTGTACCTGTTCAAACAACAAATGAAATTCTGCTTTACGGATAAACAATATATAGCCCCGCTGCCATCTAATTTTGATATCTGCATGAGGCATTACAAGTGCAGGAATTTGAGTTCCAAAGGTCAAGCTAGACCTTAGAACAAAACTCAAACAAATGGTACCATATTACAATGCTGGCAGCAAGGAAAGTTTAAGGAGGTGCACAAATGCAAACAAATTAGGTTCAGACTCAAAGGCAAATTTCAGAAAATAAGCTTTCCATATTGTTCACCTCACACACCATATCAATGGCATAAGGTGTTCAGAACATTTTATGACCATTAGTAACATACGTCCTGAAAAGACATTAAAAGGTAAAATTAACACAGGAATAAGTGCCAACATTATACCGCTACACACCATGAAGGACATGTACCTCAGCAGGTGGGACTCTATGGTACAGTTAAGGGAGACCATCTCACAGCATGTAATGGATCACCAATTTTCTGCATTAGCAGAATCACACTCTGATGCTAACATACAAGGTCATCCTTGCTTCTCAAAATTTTTTTCTGATGTATACTAACTTGTCCAGCAGTGACAGGTTTACCAATATGCACAGATCTTCAAGTTGTCGCAGTTTAGAAGATTGAAACCATATTCACTGTGGTGGGACAGAATCAGTTACTGATCTCCTAGGAATTTTTGCAAAGAGTTATACTGGGCTATATTGAGATCGCAAGAACTGCAGGTGCTGGAGTCAGAGACAACACAGTGTGGAGCTGAAGGAACACAGGAGGCCAGACAGCATCAGCGGAGCAGGAAAGTTGATGTTTTGGACTCGAAACGTCAACTTTCCTGCTCCTCTGATGCTGCCTAGCCTGCTGCGTTCCTCTACACTGGGCTATATTGTTTGATTCTCTCTCCACAAATGCTACCAGACCTGATGAGTTTCTCCAGCACTTCCTTTTAATTTCAGATTTCCAGCACCCACGTAATTTTGCTTTGATTTGAACAATCCTCAAGGATTTGACTTTGAAGTAACATATGAGCCAGGTACCAGGATGATTATAGTTAAAACAAAGAACTGCAGGATGCTGGAAATCAGAACAAAATCAGAAAGTGTGAGAGAAACTTAGTAGGTCTGGCATTATCTGTGAGAAAGAGAAACAGAGTGAACTTTTCAAGTCCAGTGACCTTTCATCATAACTGAACCATTCTGATGCTGCCAGAATGCTGAATTTCTCCAGCACTTTACATTTTTGCCCAGAATGATTATGTTTGGCACATTTAGCAGATTACCCAATCTGCATAAAGATCGAGACATTCCTCTTGATCTACACATTGACGCTTTAGAAAGTTTCAGCTCTATTTTGTGAATAATCGAGGAAAAGACTCAAGACTGGAAATTCAAAAAAAAAACAGTTAAGTCAAGCCATATATCTGAATGAAAAATGAAACTCTATGTGGTATTTGACTAATATAAATTGATAGAGTTAGGAATATATGAGATTTTATTTTGCTGTGTATTTTGACTAGACTATGAAGATGAAGACATTCTTAAGGTTGATAGATTACACTTTGGTCAGAGCCAGTACCTACAGTTGCAATTGATACCTGTGTTACTACTGCATAAGTCATATCCCAGAATGGAATCTGCTTTAATAGATCATATTTTGCCTTTATTTTGATTTAACATAGTGGTCTTTCACTAAAAACGGCTATTTCTAGATTTGACTTTAACAATAAAACAGAAGTTTATTACACAAAAGACCAGACGATAAAACTGAAAGAGTACTATTTACATATAACACAATTTGAAAGGTTTCAACATTGTTAGCTAAGTGAGTAAAACATTATTTTCCCCTTAGAAATCCATGCTGGCTCCTCCAAAACAACCCACTACTAATTGTATCCAGAATACTTGTTTTTTGCAGCTCCCCATCACTGAAATTAGTGAAACAGACTGGACTGAAATCGCTGGCTGTATTCTTATAACCATTTTGAACAATGGCATAATGTCTGCAATTCTCCAGTCCCCTAGTGCCTCTCCTGAGTCTAAGCAAGGCTGAAAGATCATGGCCAATGCCCATACAATTTCCACCTCCTTCAACATCCTGGATGCATCTCATCTGTTCCCAGTGCTTTGTGAACTCTGAGTAACAATAACCTAGTGATCACTTCCCTCTTATCAATATTGAACCCTTCTAGTGACACAACATCCCCCTATGTCATAGTGGCCTGGGTAACATCTAGCCCTTGGTAAAGACAGGTGCAATGTATTCATGTAGCAACTCAGCCCCCTTTGGTCCTTAATTGGTCCTACTCCTCCTTTTACTGCACTGTTATTAAAGATGTGCCTATAGAGGACTTTGGGATTTTCCTTCATGTTGGCTGCCAGTCTTTTCTCATAATTCTTCTTTGCTTCCCTAATATACTTTTTTACTTTCCCACTGAACCTACCAGGTTCCTTTTGGTTTTTAATTGGATTTTCTACCTGACACCTGTCATATGCACATTTTTCCTTCTTTACGCAGTCATAGAATCACACAGCATGGAAACAGACTCTTCAGTCCATGCCAAACTTCGATAAGGTCACCTCTCAACCTCCTACACTCCAGTGAAAAACAGTCCCAGCCTATTAAGCCTTTCTTTATAGCTCAAACCTTCCATACCTGAGAAATCTCTTCTGAACCCTCTCCAGCTTAATAATTTATTTTAATTTCTATTTGCTTTTGCATTCAAGGCACTCTAGATTTCTTTGCCCTTCCTTTTCCCCTGTTGAGAAAATGTACCTTGATGATACCCAAACATGGCCTCTTTGAAGGCAGAACATCAAAATCTACAGACATACAGGAGGTCTAGTATCATCTGTGGAGCAAGAAACAATGTAAATGTTTCAAGTCTGATATGACTCTTCTGAGTGGATTTTGGAAAGGTGTTGAATATGGCCTGTCCAGGATTAGATGACAATGAGGTGGAGAGTTGTGGAGAGGAGAATTCCAGAGGTGCTGAGGTCAGTGACAGTCCTGAACATAACAGCTTGATGTTCAGTGTTATGGTCTTGATCTAGGGGGAGTTAGAAAAACATACCTGAGAGTTGGTGTTCAGCCTCTGCAAGGTACAGATTGGCATGCCAGACAACAAGCACACCATCCTTATCAGCAGGTTTCAAAATCAGGTTTGGACCTGAGTGAACGGACTGTAGAAATTTCAGAGAGAGGTGGATTAGAGTGAGTGAGGGGAGCAGACAAACAAAGGTGGCCGATGTCACTTCGGCAATTCTCAACGAAGAGATCAAATACAGGTGAAAGGACAGAGGAGTTTTCCAGGTAGGGTGGAATTATTGAAGATTGGTGAAAGAATCAATGTGGCAGGGAGAGGAATGCCTGTCTAAAGAACCGGGCGCTGAGGTGAAGGCAATAGAGGAAGAGCTCAATGTTATGTTGTGCCTAAAGTTCACTGAAATGGGGTCATAAATGGATAAATCAAAGTCCTTTGCTGAGCACGGACCATTCAGCATCACAGAGGGGAAAGTCAGGGCGTATAGTCAATACATGTCAAGGGGTGAGGTTAGACAAAGGAATGGATTTAGAGGGAAGGGGAAGGGAGAAGAATGCAGACATACATTGGTATGGTTGAATTTGTGGGACTTGCGTTCCTTAACATCTGAAAGGAAGGGCAAAGGCATCAGATGGGACCACAGATGAAAGGAAACTAGGGACCGGGATAGCTTTGAGATAGTGTGAGGCAGTGCTAATAGAGAGAGAGGTCTCGAGTGTGCATATGGTGATGCAAGAAACTGAGCGTGGATCTCAGGATGTGATGGGAGCAGCTGTCCGAGGAGTGTTGCATGTCTCAGAGATAGCAGTCATCTTAGATTCGAAACATTAGGATGGAACTTCAGTTGGAATCCATGCAGGAGACAATCGCTGAGAAAGGAGATATGGTTCCGAAAGTGT